AGTAGGTTAAAGGATGATCCACTTGTATTCCTTCAGTATTTGCCCAATCTAGTACATCTTGAACTATCTGAGGTGTTTGAAAGAGACAGACTTTGCTTTGGAGCTGGAGGATTTAAGAAGCTCAAGCATCTAGGTCTCGATAAATCTAATGAACTTAGAGCATCTACAATGGGCTCCCTAAATCACCTCCTTAGACAAATTTTAGGGAGGCATTGTAAAAATGCAACTCCAACCATGCTCCCTATCCACCTCCTAAAATAGGGAGTCCTCTAGGAGCTCCTAAATCTGAGGAAAGAGAAAAGACTCCTAGTGGCTCCCTATAATTTAAGGCTGCCTTATTTAATGAGTATTTCAAACCTTTATTTACTGCTAACTATTTTTTATTTTATTTTTTAATAGAGATGAACCAATCAAAAAAGAGTTATAGCATTTACGACTCTCCAAATTAGGGAGTATGGTTGGAGTTGAAATTTTTTAGAGAGCTCCTAAAATAGCTTTCTTATATTTTTAGCTAAATTTTAGCTAAGAAATAGAGAGCATCATTGCGGATGCTCTTAGATGCACAAGGGTGGAATGGGGAACAATGCCTTGTATTGAACAATGCATTGGACAAGGTCCACTACTAAAAAAACACACACTAGCCACTGACATGAATTTGTCTCCTAAGTTGATTTTAGAGACAATAAATTGTCTCCATTAAGCAATAGAGACTATGCAGCGACTATTTTTGTTTCAGTATCCTAGTTTGGGGTTGCTATTGCTTATTAGGTACAATTTTGGGAGTCAGTCCTTCAATATTTTCAAATAAACAAATACATTATCAGCCAAGCCCAGCCATATTGAATTCTTCCAAGCCGTGGGGTCTTGGGAGAGGGTCTGATATTTGAGAGGCTATCTTCTAAATTAGGGACTAATGACATGTCAGTATCTCATTACTTTATTACATATGTTTAACTAATAATACAATTAAACCCATCAGTCCCCAATTCCATATATCCAAAAAAAAAAAAATATGTCCAAATATATGCATGCGAGCAACTGCAAGCCATATATCCCCAATTCCATTTCTCTGAATATTAATTCCTAATTTTCAAGATGGATTTTTGGGTTCGAATCACTCCTACAAAAACTGCAAGCCATATATGCAACAATTCCTCGTCCTCGAAGTCAACCATTTCTTAGAGGATCACCAACCATTTGAAGTCACAAACCTGAAGAAAATATATTCAGAAAATCCCCATATGAGCAGAGAATCATATACCGAAAACCCTAAACTTTCTTTTGACAAAAAATTAAAAAAAAACCCTAAACTTTATTAGAAATATATATTATATCCAACTGTAAATGAGCCTTACAGTATTTCCTTTGGATCATTAGGTGATCCTGGCGTTTTCTCCTTTAAGATCTAGGGTTGCTCCAATCGTGTGAAGGAGCTGAAAAAAATAATGAACAGGTTAATGTAACTAAACTAAAACCAAATTTTATACAAAATAATTATATAAAAAATTTCTTACAAAGATTTTGAAGCTCCTCTGTTCAATGTGCTTTCCAAGCTCTCCATTGCCTTTCCTCAAAAATTAAAAAAGAAAAAGACAAAAAGCATTCAGTAACAGCCATATATATCAGACCAAAGTCAAAATCAGATGCTGGAACCAAAATAAGTAAAGGCACACTGAAAAAGAATGATATTATGATTTTTCAATTACCAGTTCATCAGCGCCTTCTTCCATAACGAAACCATCACGGTATTTGTCCCAGATTTTCTCTCATCAACTTCCAGATAGGCATCTTACCAAGTCACACTGCTCCAACTCTTCAATTTCCAGATCGGGATCTCAAGCCGCAGCCTAGTATTTTGTGACCAGATGGCTTTGTGATTCACGCAAAAAGAATAAGAGAGAGAGACAGAGAGAGAGAGAGAGAGGTGAAACAAATCATTCTTTTTTCTCTCTTTTGCTTATGTCCAAGTGTTTGAAGTTGAGAAATAAAAAATGTGTTTTAACATTGGGCTGTGTGAAAATATCCAATGGAAGAAACTACCAAAAGCAATCAGTATCCAATTTAAGGCCAAATGCCAAAGCTTTTGAGTGAAGGGAGCCAGCCAAGCTCGTTTGTGTTATTTGTGAATGGAGCCGGCTTCTTTTGATAAGTTGGGACTGATAATAACAAGTTGGGACTGATAAAAATGCCCAAATATTAAGGAAAAATAAAGAAAAATACTTTTTTGTATTACACACTAATATCTATCCCAAATACCTTTAATAGGCATGGTGGGAGAATTAGTATCCAAAAAAAAATCACAATGCACTTTTATGAATTTGTATCTAAATAATCAGTGGTTAGTAGCCATTTTTCTAGTAGTGGTCCCATAATACATTGAACATCTCATCACACTTAATCTACTCCCATAGAGCTTACGAAATTAAAGATTTTGATGCTGACTCAAAATCTAAAAATAGAGCACAAAGTAAAGTAGAAGGAGAAACTTGGTTTAGGATTGGTATTAAGGTGTTGTGTGATAGAGTGTATTAAAGTGTACCATGAGTATTTTTTATAGTTAAATAGGGTTTACTTAGTTAATTATATGTTTTGATTTAAATATTAGGGTGTACTTAGATCATAGAGTGTACTCAATTAATTTTAAGGTTTGTTTAGCAGCACTCTTGTTTTTTTTTCTTCCATTAATTCTTATAGAGAGATGTATAAGATAAGTAGGTTCTTTTTAGTACTCCAATGCTTTTTATTTTTCGTCTTCGATCCTTTCTTATGTAGAAATATATATAAAATAAATGATATTATGTCTTTCAGTTTATAATATTCTATACCCACATAGGTTTTTCTTGTGTGTTATACATATATAGGATCTGTTTTTGGCATCAGCCCGAGCATTGAAAATCTCAGGGCTTGCAAAGTCCCACTCTTAATTTCATAGAAGCATGTGTGACCAGAGAGTACAAAATCAACAACATTGGACCATAAAAGGAAATATTTACGTGAACAAACTTGGACCCAAGTATTATCCATATATTATCCCTTATTAATGATCATTCCCCCTCATTAAGGAATTTTCGTGTGCCAGTGGGGGTTGCCTCCGTGGTGAGGCTTTCCCTTCCCCCCTAGGCACCAGGGTTCTTACCTCAAGGATGGCACATTTAAAACCTCAATTAGCTACTCCCCCTCCCCCTCCCTAGTGTTTGGCCCAAAAAAAAAAGTACTTTTCGTCAAGATAAGAACCTTGTTCTTTCCGAATGTTGAAAAATTCACAGCCAACGGAAGGCACAGGTTGTTGAGTTAAGTGGTAATTCAATTTGTGAGAGGATAGAGCATTTTCAGCTTTCGCGTGTGTTTGACCGGATTCCTTCTTATCCTTTTCCAATGTTTCTTAGAAATACCACATTTTGTGCTTTACATATGTATTAAAGAGTGCTATTATTTCCACTATCTGTCGTATTTTCCTACACACCTTGTTTTAATTTTTCCACCAGTACTGCTAAGGGGCTGATGAGAATATTGATATGGTAGGGTAAATTTGAGTAGTTCTTCCAAAAGGATTGAGGGGTTGACTGGAATGGTGTTTCATTGGGATTTCTCGTCGTGAAGTTGAAAAGACATGAAGAAGATGAAGAGTGCTTTCTCTTTTTTTTTTTGGTTAAAATTTTTATGTTTTTAACTTGGAGTTGATGGTGTTTGGTTGAATTAATAATTAAATGGTATTTTAGGAATAATGGTGGGTGGAAAGATAGGATTTTAATTTTTCAAATTTACATAGTGGGTGAGAAGATAAAGTGGGTGGAAAAATAGAACAAATGGGTGGAAATAGCAGCACTCGTATGAAATTGTAGTAGAAATTTAAATGGACCCGACAAACACTTCACCCATTTACTGTATCATATGGTTATGATTGTCCATGAAACTGACAATGTCGGTACATGAGTCGCATAATTAAGTCACAAGAGTAAACTTTACTAACAGTGTATTTGGTAACTTTTCCATTGATTACAATCTAAAACGTTAAATATTTACCCCAAAAAAAAATAAAAATCTAAGAAGTGAAACGTAGAATTTGATATTTAATATCAAGCTTTATTCATTTATTAGAATAATATTAATAACACGAACATGATAAGGAGGCCTAGTCAAGGAAGGAGCCTCAGGTATTGCATCAACTCTTATTTTAGTACATGCATATTATTATGGCCTTCTTCAATTGCATGCATGCATGCAACTAAAGACTGCCATTGATTCGGTCCCTCCTTTACTTTGGGTTGCCGAAGTTGGTAAATGCTTCCGCCTGACCCGTGTTCTGCTTGACGACAATATCACCAGCGTCGATATCAACGCCGCTCGTGTCACTGCTGTTGTTGAAGTTGGAAAATCCCTTCGCGTTGCCGGTGTTGTCGCTGACAGTTATTGTCCCTTTGACTCTAATACCTTTGCGGTTGGGAGGATTTTGAGCTTGGTTGGAGTTGGTTTGACATGGATTCGTCATTGTCTCGCTGATTGGTTTTTAGTTGGGATGTGTGTGTTTGCTTTGATGATCAGCTCATTGCCTCATGTTCTCCTTTTATAGTTGTTGGCATGCGCAAAAGCAGAAAATATTTAATAACGGCCGATAATGCCGATTCTATATTGATCATCAGTTTCTTCACATAAATATATATATATATATATATATATATATATACAGAAATTCTCTTATGCGGACATCCGGACGTTATTATCGTGCGGACGCAGTGTATTTTGTACTACCCTTCTCTGTTTTCCTGCCTATTTACAATAGGATCCGCACGATAATAACGTGCGGACATCCGGATAAGAGAATAACTGTATATATATATATATAAAATTTACATTTTATCTTCTTGGAATAATATTACTACAGTACGGCCGTAGTGCCCTTTCTTGTTAGAGGATCTTTTTAATTACTTCTTTGAAGTTGATGTTTGCTTTTTCAAAAGGGTGATATCCATCATCCATTTGTAATATTCCTCACTCAAGTAACTATTGTGCGTAGATTCTCCATCATCAACAATGTGTCAGTTGAGGTTTAACAAGGAATTCAAGGCTTATTTCGTAAGGTTTATTATTATTATTATTTTCAATAAATGGAGGAGGGAATGAAGCTCTTCTAAAAGTGAGTAGAGCAAAGCAACTTGGTTGATAACTTGAAAAGTGATGGTGGAAAGTCTAATTAGTAATTTCGAGTCATTCCTATAACTTGGACGATGATCCATTCTTATGATATTGCATGTTTCATTTCAAATAAGTTGAAAGCAAATCAATATTAATCAAATTCGATACGGATAATGAAGTTGACATAGCTTTTGGAAAATACAGATTCTATATTGATCATAATAGTCACAAATTAAATTCGAATTTGATATATATGGATAATGAAGTTGACAGCTTTCGGAAAAGATAGATCCATGTGTCTAATGTATTCCTCATTGAAGTTACTATTGAAGTTCCACATATTAAATTAAAATAACAAATAAATAATAAAAAACTGAAAATTGAGGAGGCTGTGTTGTGTGTGCGAGGGAGAGAGGGAGAGAGGGAGAGACTGGGTTGGGGGAAGCTGCAAAACCTGGAGACTTTGGATCTGAAAAATTCTCGGGTTACTAAACTTCCAGTTGAAATCCTCAAACTCCAACATATGCACCATCTCTTGGTATATCGTTATGAGTTTGTTCCTCATGAAAATTTTCACTCAAAATATGGTTTTAAGGTGCTAGCAAAAATAGTTACCAAAAAAAAAAAGGTGTTAGCAAAAATTGGGGCTTTCACTGGATACCCTCTCTTCATAGCCTCGGAAAATTATATTTGAAATGGAGTAGGTTAAAGGATGATCCACTTGTATTCCTTCAGTATTTGCCCAATCTAGTACATCTTGAACTATCTGAGGTGTTTGAAGGAGACAGACTTTGCTTTGGAGCTGGAGGATTTAAGAAGCTCAAGCATCTAGGTCTCGATAAATCTAATGAACTTAGATGCACAAGGGTGGAATGGGGAACAATGCCTTGTATTTTTATTTTTTTTTGGTCGAAATCATATCTCATTTCATTAAACGCCAAATAGGTGTCCCCAATTCTCCATCAACCTCTCTCTAAATCCAATTTTGTCCAAGCATCTTCCATCTACCCCTTGGATTCCTTTCCTCCCTCTTCGATCTGGCCTCTCTTGCGGGTTGTAGAAGCTAATCCAAAACGCGATCTCTCGCGTCCCCATCGGAAGGTGTATAGAGCTCTTGCTCTGGTGCTTGCACCACCACCTTCCACTCTCTTGATCCCATGGGCTTTGGGTTTCCATTTCTCTTGGTCTTGCTTTGATTGGTTGCTGCACTCTCTGTGGGGCATAGGCGGGTTCAAGCCTGGTGGAGTTGTTGATTCATGGATGGATGTCTTGGAGCTGATACGGCTATGTGGTTCAGGGAGCTTCTGGTCTTGGTGGCAGATTTGTGGGTCTTTTGTGTGCAGCTATGCTGTTTTGTGCGGTGGTGAAGTCTCCTTTCACTTTCTGCTGAGGTGGTGCGCTCCCTGTTCTCTGGTCAACGGCGGCGGCGGCTTTTGCGTGCTTAGGCTAGGGTTTGCCAAAATTCTAGTTTTGGGTATGAACTGGGCTGTATGCTTATTTTTGGGCTCTGATTATATTTGGGGTGGGCCACTGCATTATGTGTGTTGTTTTATTTTGAGTTTGTTTATGTTATTGTACTGGGTGTGTGAACTCTATTCTAGACTTGGTTTGAGTTTAGATGTTCTGTCCCGGTTGTGTTACGGTTCTATTATTGTGCCATTGGTTTGTGCAATGCCTTGTATTGAACAATGCATTGGACAAGGTCCCATAAGACATTGACCATCTCATCATACTTAATCTACTCCCA